TCTATTTTTATACTTAAAACACCATTTTCCAAAGGCCGTACACTTATTTTTGTTCTTTTCATATTCCTTATTGCAATATCCTCACACAAGTATGCTTTTAGTAGCACTATAAGTCTCCATACTGCATTCGGAGACATTAATTTTTTTATCAATTCAAATTGTTGTAAGGACTCCATACATGCAAGCAGATTCATATTATAAGTTGAAGCAGCTCTAGAATTTTACGCTTGTACGAGATGCTCAACATTCCTTCAGCCAGTCTTAGCAAAATTAGTTCGTCTTCGATAGGCAATTGTTCCGAACCCATTCAAATTCACAATATCTCGACGCTTCTTTCAATCGATGTACATATTGTTTCCTCGCAGGTTAAAATATGCAAAGTTGGCACAATAAATTTTATTTCACATTCTATGAGATCAAAATGGCTTGAGCAATCCGTATACGGTACAACACTCAATTTATGATGGTCCATCCAAAAATTGCTTGGTTCCCAACAGGTATTGCCGCATACACCAGGAAATAACTGTGATCCTATTTCTTCTTTGATAGAAATAAGACGTTGCTGCCTGAGGAAAAACGATTCCCGGTTGCCATGGTTCAGCACAGAAAATCGGGAGAAAATGGACGCAGTGCAAGTGGCATTGGAATGAAGCACACAATTAGTTAAAAAAGAGAGTTAAATAATATTGATTAATGTCAATGCCTACAGTTTTCGTTCAATATTTTATGTCAGTATTGGCTGCTTTTCGCTTGATCTGTCAAGATTTATTGCGCTTGAATGTTGGCATTGAGGCACATCAAAGCTCGATACTTGGTCAGCCTATGCCAGGCAGTTCCAAACAGGTTGATCAGCTGACCAAATCCGTTCTAGTTTATTTTTTTTTTATTGCAGTTTTGGTTTGCATTTATTTCGTTTTATTTTTTTGTCTTTGCAATTTTATGTAGCTTTCCATTGAATTCATTCTTTTATTCATTCATTCATTCATTCATTTGTTCGTTCTTTCTTTCATTCATTGAATTTTTCTTTCATTTTCATTATATTCATCGTCTTTATGCATCTCTTATATTTCATCAATCCACACTTATTTTATTTCCTTTTTAATTTACTTGTGGGTTGATAATGTCTATTTCTTTTACATTTTTTATTTTCTAACTTCTTATTTCTGTCTAATTTTATTTCAGTTTATGTATTCTATTTTGTTTTTCTTTCATTCATTTAATTTTAATGTGTCTCTTTTTCCTTGTTTCTTTCTTTCAATTTTTAATACATTTTTATTTTTTATGAAGTTTTTCTTTTTTACATTTCCTCTAGGTTTTTGTTTTTATTTTTATTTTATTTTTAAGCGTTTCACCCCAAGCAAGGCGGGAAGCCACTAGGACGCAAGGGGTTACAGAAAATTTGGAGCAAGATCAGATAGGAGTGATAGAAGAAAGGACGAGGAGAAGGGTAGTGGATAGATCAAGGCAACTGGAGATGTCGATTGACATTACATTTGAATAGCTGAAGATTATAGCTCTCAGGGAAACTGGAATAGGGAAGGGAGTTCCACAGGCGAGAGGTGCGAGACATGAAGCTATTGGAGTAGAAGAGACGGCTACATTTAGGAGTTTCGACAGTGAAAGGGTGAGAGCGGGATGCCAGTCTCGTAGGGCGCTTGAACTCATGAAGTCTGGGAACCAATGAATGCAGCTCCTCGGAGCAATTGTCATGAAAGTATTTGTAAAACAGACAGAGAGAGGCGACGGCGCGTCTGTGAGAAAGTGACTGTAGACGAGATGCCAGATCAGGGCCAATTATATTGCATATCCGCCTCTGGAGTCTATCAAGAACCCCGAGGCAAACAGAAGGGGCTCCAGACCATATATGGCAGCAATACTCCATGCAAGGGCGAATTGTTGATTTGAAGATATGGAGGATCGATTCCGAGGAGAAAAATTTCCTGGCGCGGCACAGGGAGCCAACTTTCCTTGCGGTGGACGAAGCAATTGACTTAATGTATTTGTTCCATCTCAGGTCAGCAGTCAACGTGAGACCGAGCAGCCGCAGAGAGGTGCTCTCGAGAAGTTGAGCGTCAGACATTCTAATGGAGGGCAGGGAAGGATCTCTGTGATGATTAATAGAGAGCAGTTTTGTTTTTAAAGCACTAAAGTTGACCAGCCAATTCCTGCCCCAGTTCACAACCGATTGGATGTACTTTTCGAGACGCACGGCCAGGTTATTTTTGTCAGTGACACTAGATTTGTTTTTGAGGCAGGAATAAATTGTGGTGTCATCCGCGTAGATGCCAACTTGGGAATTTATGGCGTCAGGAAGGTCATTTATGTAGATAAGGAACAGAGTGGGGCCTAGGATGGAGCCTTGAGGATAACTCATTCCTGCATTCAATATCTTTTATTCGTCTCCATTTTTCTACTGCAACTATTTGTAATAGTTATTCATCCTGTCTTTCAGTTTAGAATTTCTTCATTTTATACTAATTCAACGTATCTTTCTCTTTTATCATCTATGTTACTTTCACTCATTTCGCTTTTGTTTCTTTTCATTTATTCTTTTCATCCTGAAGCCAAGATTCCTTTCAATCAAACAAAAATATTTATTTTTCCTTCAAATATTAATGTCTTCTTTTCTTTCTGCTTTATATATTTCATTTTGTTTGTTCGTTCATTGAATTGTTTGTTTGAACGCTCCTTTCTTTGCAGCCAATATCGAACTAAACTCTTACCCTTTGATCCGAGTTATCTTGCGCAATGTTTGTCAATATTGACAGTGGTTCAAAGTTTACGAAATACAAAGAGTGCTTTCTAGTAGTTTGTAGCGCGCGTCTGCTTCCATATTTGCGATTTTAAAACTTTCATGTCAGAATCTACGAGTGGGAAGGAATCTTTTATTGTCTCTCCACCAATCATCTTTACATCTGATCACTTGATATGAACTAAAGGCATAAAGGTCGCTCACTGAATGAATTTTGATTCGCAATAGACGAATCATCGCTCATACGCTTCCGCCTTATTTCAAAAACTAACAGTTTAACTCAAGTAAAATCTTAAACAGGATTGACCTATTTATGCTCGGAAACTTTTAAATTTGAATTGCTATCAAGCATATTATATAGATATTTACCAAATTTAACTTAGTCCAACACTAAATACACTTAACAGCGAAATCACTACATTATTACTGATCTTATGAAACGAATTGTTTAACCTTTAACCCAAATTGTCACCGAAACAATATACTCGGACACCTATGATGCCGGTGAATTATCTTACTTATCTACTAAACTTAACTTATATGTAAAGCTACATCATGAATACTCGAGATCCAAATCTTTGCATCAAGTATATAAGATAAGTTTATTTACGCACAGGAATTTAATCGTGAGACATTTTGTAAGGAACATGCCACCAACGTTGCGAGAATACCTTGCGGACCGTCGCTGTGTTGTTTTAATCAAAAACTGCAGAAAATTTACGTTTCTCTCTCTTTCTCTCCCTATATGCAAACACACAGACATAAACAAACACACACATATGTATATATATATATATATATATATATATATATATATATATATATATATATATATATATGCTGTGTGTGTGTGTGCAGTCTGAACTAAAACCGTGTAAAGACACTAATGTTTCAGTAAAATAATGAATGCTTCTTAATTTTCTACTTTATAGACTATACAGCCCTGACTTCGTTTCCCATTTCTGATAAGCTCGTCGATATGTACCATCTGATCTTGTTTTCATTGTATATATAACTATGAAACTATCGATGTTGCATATTCTCTCTCCATTTTACTTTGGGATTAATTTTCAATAATTAATTTTTCTTCGTAACGCCTAATGGTCTCTTTTTGTAATATACTATTTGGCGTCCAGGTTTATAGATACTTTCGTACTTGTACTTCCTGACCTCGCGTCATGTTTTTAGATACAGTGTTCTTGAGTTTCTTGTGAGGAATCGATTGTGCTGCAGGTGTAATCTCGTATTTTATAACATGCCATTATATGATGAACCTCCATCATTTGATATTTCGTTCTGATTTCCTAAACGATGTCGTAGCAAATATCCCTTAGTTCTTATCAGATAAAGAAAACGATAACATTGTTTAGCAGACAATATTATGAAACTTTAAATTAAAATAATTCAATTGAAGTTGAGCTGAAAATTAAAACAGAAATAGGTAAGTAAAAATAAATATATTGTAGACCACATTTGCAGCAATTAATATTTTGTGGTGTATCAACCAAAGAAATAAACATATACTTTCCTCTTAGTGGTTGAAGTCTAGAAGTATTAGCATCTATGATATTTTTTTAAAATGCCCATTAATTCGTTGATAAAGAAGAATTTTTACGTCGGGATCAAGTAATCCATGTTTCGACAATCAGTTAGAATTGGCAGTTTGCTGAGGTTATATTACCAGTTTATAATATATTATAGGACACATTTATCAGGGATCAGAAGGAAATGTCGAGAAGCACCACAATATTCGGCAACGAGTTCCGCCAACGCGGACGACGATTATCGGTATTGGGGAGGGGGTTAGATTTCATAAGTAAAACATCAGTGAAATATTTTCCATCCATAAGTCATACAACATGTATCCAGAAAGTGTTCAGTTCTTTGACATTGTTCAGTTTGCATACAAAAAATAATGACGTCTTAATCACCTTCCTATTGACTGACTTCAGTCAGAAACTAACATTTCTTTTACTTATCAAAGTATTCTAAAAAAAACCCACAACATCACTCGGTGATGTAAAAGCCAATAATTCTAATGCTAATTTTCAGAGAAATCAGAGCCAATCCACTTTTAAGCCTGGAGAATCAGCAACTACTCTGTTACTGAGGATGGTTTAAAATAGACTTAGCTTCGTAAATATTAGATATGTGCAAATGTTTCTTGCGGAAAACGCAACTCGAGATAGGTCAAGATTAAAGATAAGAACGAAAGAAGAATATAAAGTGATTAGAGAGAAGAGCGTCGTTAGAGAAGGAAAGAGAAGGAAAGGGAGAGAAAGGGAGGAAAGAGAGGAAGGGAATGGACAGAGAAAGAGAAGGTGGGGAAGAGAAGAGAATTGATACAGAAGGTAAGAGAGAGACAGAGGAGGAAGAAAAGAGAATCGACATAGGAGGAGAAAGAGATAGAGAGAGAGGAGACAGAAGAGAATCCATAGAGAATGTGTGTGTGTGTGTGTGTGAGAGAGAGAGAGAGAGAGAGAGAGAGAGAGAGAGAGAGGGAAAAAGAGAATCCTTAGAAAAGGAGAAAGAATAGGGAGAGAAGAGAATCAATAGAAAAGGAGAGAGTGATAAAGAAAGAGTGAGGTGAAGAAGAAAAGAGAATCCATATAAAAGGAGAGAGAGAGAGGGAAGAAAAGAGAACCAAAAGAGAGAGAGAGAGAGGAGTAACAGAAGAGAATCGATAAGGAATGAGAAAGAGAGAGAGAGAGAGAGAGAGAGAGAGAGAAAGAGCGGACGAGAAAAGAATCAATAGGCAAGGAGAAAGACAAAGTTAGCGAAAGAGAATGAGGGATAGAAGTTGGGGAAAGAAAGCGGGAAGCAGTGAAAGGAAATGAAGAGAAGATAGCGAAGTATAAGAATCTGGATGAAATTTTAAGTAACATTTGTGAAAGACAAGAATAGTTTTAACTGAAGGAGATTAGTATTCTCTAAGATTACTATTTAAAACAGGAATGACAAACCGACATTAGTGCAATGACTATATGGACATTGGCGCGGTCGTGTGGTTGCATTGCTCTATGCACACAGAAAGGTTGACCAGTCAAAGTAGGACGTGATATAAGATCGAAATGGTCTGCCTATTCGACTTGAGGAAATTCTCTTATCGATCTAAATCTGCATCATATGGACAGAAGCATCAAATATGCAGAGAAATGTCTCATTCATTCCCCAGACGCATCTAATGTATTCACAACGATGAATACGTTGATGATCTCTATCAGTCTATTCATAACTATCTAGACCATTCCATAACAGCCATTTGTTTTGCTCAGTACGTTCAACTTATATTCTTGTTTTGCTGATCTTATATTTATCTATCACGCTCATTATTTATTATATATACACGTTTTTTTGAATTTTTAATAATCCAGGAGAATTGACAATTGATGAAACACGAGATTTCTATCTTCAATACTATCACTACATTCGTGTATTTGTAAAGTATTTGATAATACCAACATGGAAGGAACGTCGATTAGATTTTCAATCTAAAGGGATTTCTGATGTGTGGTCTATATAAGCATTATATGTAACAGTCATGGAAATGACCGGTATACGTTCTCTTAGGCTTAGAGATTTTATTACTAGTTAGTAGCTTAGTAGGAGTAGTAAAATTATGACAATAATATTCCGTAAAAATGTAAAAATAGACTTTTCATCACACACACACACACACACACACACACACACACACACATATATATATATATATATATATATATATATATATATATATATATATATATATACACGTGTTTAGTTGCAATAAACACTACTACTACTACTACTACTACTACTACTACTACTACTGTCTGCAATTCTCCCCTAAGACACTATGTGCTCTTTATCCTTTTTTGAGTTTGTTTCAAATTGTTATTGTTTTTTACTGAAAAGTGTTTTTTTTTCTGTATTTCCTTGAAATATATTTTGCTTATCTATTTCCCATTTTGAGAAATATAGTTATTTGTTTCTAGTTTTTACGGTGTCTTTCCTAAATAAAAGGATAACATCAGTATGAAGCGTGACCCTTTTACATTGAGACTTGTGGCCAATTATATTATGCAGATAGTAGGTACCTCCAGGGACTTTCTAATATTTTAAATGCCTTTTAGTACTTTAATTTCGGTTCAGTTTGTAAGATAATCGTCTAAAGCTTATCTGAATTAAAAAAAAATCCTTATATAAATAAACATTTAAGGTATTTTTAAAGCATTAGTCATTTTTTCGTCACTCAGTGAGCCGGAGTTGTATCCGAAAAACGGAAAAAACAAATTTAAAATTTAGAATTGTGTTTCAAATTCAAATTTAAAAATTAATTAATCGGATTTTCTAACCGTAATATTTATTTTTTACTTCATACTTTACATGAAAATATTGTTTTATTTACGCATGGAAGCCTAGAAGGTCAAAGGACAAGTTAGAAGCATATTAATACTACATCTATATACCTCCGTCCAAAAAAGCGCTGGAAAAAGTAAAAATAAGACCCATGAAATCAAGAATTTGTTATTTAGGTTTAAAACTAATTTTTCTATAACCTCATTTAACCAATAGTTTAAGAATATAATTTTTATTCTATATGCTTTTATTAAACTTAGTATAAATAATAATTTTATTTTTTATACTAACTGAACTATCAAATTAGATTAATATCCGATACTGAATAGTAGTCAGTTAATCATCGCAAGATATCAGAATTATTTCCCTTTCTGTACATCCACATCAAAACTAGTCTAAATGTTTCTAAAAGGAGAAAAATCAAATAAAATTCTTTCGAAAAAGTCCACACTCGAAAATGGTATTACATTTTACATTTTTAAAATTTTCAAATATATCTTTACTTAATAAAATAAAGTCTTATGACAAATTGCAAGGAGAAAAATTTCAAAATGCACTGAAAAATTACATGTAATTTTTTAAATGTAAATATTAAGTTTTAAATATTTTTCTGTTGAATCTGAAAAGATAATGTTTTTTTTTATTAAATTATGCAAACACCAATTATCAATAAAAGTATTTTTTTTTAGTTTTATTGAATTGTTTTTGGCAAGAAGGCGGGGAGAACCCCCCGCGTCTGTTCACATTCGATATTACATACATTTTCTACTGAAATAATATCTTGAGAGATGTCTTTTCATATATCGGTAAAAATCTGGACGAACTCCCCCACCACAAAGTAAAATGTATCCACACGATAACGAAAAGGGGGATAAAATATAACGGTCCCAAAATATTTCCACGAAGCTTTTAATAAAATAGCATTCTAAGTAAAATATTCATTCTATGAATAAGTTCTGAAAAATTCGTTTGAATCGGATAGGTCCTTGCATTTTGGCAAATATTTTAACACAGGTTTCGATTTTTTGCTTTCATTGCAGAAAAATGTATCCATTTTGGTGGTACCTAGTCGATAGACATTTAATGAACTTAACCTAGCACAACCCAACAAGTGTGAAACACCAGTGAGGAAGGTTCAAATTAGTAATGGTTCATTAGTTTAGCTCATCTCCGAGGGTTGGCTGAAAAGTTCATAGGCTGAATATGAAAGAGTGATGCTAGAGTTGTGAAATATTACATGAATTAATTTCAAATCTTCTTATTAATAACTGAATTGTTCAAATTTTCTTAATAGTAACTGCATTGTTGAGTTCATCCTCTCATGACGAAATATTTGGTTCTCAGTCAAAGCTACGGTTGAAAAAAGAATTGTATCGCTTGCGAAAATTCACTGACGTCTGGTTTTTGTTATTGTTGTTGCAGTAGATTATTTGTTTCAAGTCGCCGACTGGCCAGCCATGCTGTTTTTGTTGTAGCTGATTCGTCTGAAGTTGCCGATGCATGTTTATTTCAACGCGCTCTGGTGGGAGACAGTCGCGTCTTTTCGTTTTTATCTTTAGAGACAGACACATCTCTCTGAAATTAGAAATATGTGGGGTATTATAATAAATTGTCCCGAAAGTAGGCTCGAGAAAGATAAGGTTTTAATTTTCTCTCATTTGTCAAATATTACACATAGGGATGTTTATTTATAGTCAATAGAGTTTTGATTCAAGTGGTATGTGTTATATTGTGAAATATTTTAGGTATGTTTGCAATATTGTCTGTTATTGAGTAGAAAATAAAGTGAAATATTACATGCATTCATTTCAACTCTTCTTATTAATAACTGCATTATTCAGTCCATATGTTATTAACTTATGACAAGACCACAAAATATTTACTAATCCAAGCTTAATCTAACAGAATGCTACAGTTGTTTGTAGAACATCCAATGAGTATGAAGTTGCCTACAATAGCGAATTATTCTGAAAGAAAAATTTATTTCTGTATCACTACAGTAGGTGGCCGAGTATTAGGCATAACATTAAACTAAAATAGAAAAAGGCAAATAATTAGTGAAATGAAGCATTTTCCAGATTTAATTAATATTTATAAATAACAAAATGTACACGCGACGAGGTATTGTAAGCAACGTACAGCTCGTAACAAAAGTTTAAACTTTCAGCTTCCCAGCTTCCCAGTAGAAAAAAATATCGCTATGCATGGATAAACTACAAAAGAACGTAAGTTGAAATATTGGAGGCTAATGTATCAGGTTCTCTGTAATGCGATCATAATAACATATTTTAAGCATTAATGTAGATAGCTTCAGCGCTGGTTGACATTTGCTAGGAACGATACAGGAAAAATATGAGATTAACAATTCCTATATTATTCGATTTGACAGTACAAAAACAAATTCCTCGAGTAAAGATAAATGCACTGCAGTAAAAGATCGTTCACCTTTGAGAGAACTTTTACGGAAAAGAAGTTTAAGTTTTGTTTGTATTTCGGTGTTTATACACATAATTCTCAGAGGCATGAGACAAATATATTTATATAAAATATGAAACATGAAGAAATAATACAATTCTGAATGAGAAATAAAAATCCGAATCAATAGCCTATAGAAAAGCAGTTGGCAGAATTCTGATCTAAAATGTTCATTATATGATGTTTGATCTATGAAATATACACTCATTAGTGAACTAAGTGGCTTGACAAAAAGGGAAATTACTTTGCAAAATAGTTTTTGTGTAAAATAAATTATTTTTCACCATTAGGTTCTGGAATTAATACCGTTTATCTTCTACAGTAGATATAGATCTTCGCAGAAAGGATTTTGACTTGGGTTTTACATGTCTTTTATTGACAGGATTAACAGAAAATTGAGTTTGATGACCATGTAAAAAATTCTGTCTTCCTATTTTTTATATTAAAAATCCGAACGTCTCATGCCTGTTAAATTAATCATTTCTATTTACAAACCTATTTACAAGAATTCAAAAGAGTCTAAAATAAGTAATAATAGTCTATAGTGGAGTTAAAGTCTTTGGGTAATTGTTTGACAGAAAAAAAATTGTAATTTAGAAAAGACTTTTAAATAGTTGTTTCACAGCCAAAGACTATAGTTGAAAAAAGAATTTTATCGTTAACGAAGATTCACTGACCGTCTTTATTGTTGTTGTTGTAAATGATTGTTTGAAGTCGCTAACCGGTCGGCTATGTTGTTATTTTAGTTGATTCGTTTGAAGTCGCCGACACATGCTTTACTTTAGTGCGCGCTGGTAGGAGAGAGTTGCATTTATAATAGGGTTTTATAAAAAAAATTCCCAAAAAGCAGGCTCGAGAAAAATGAGATTTTAATTTTTTCTGATTGGTCAAATATTTCACATGGTGATGTTAATTTCTAACCAATAAAAACTTTGATTCAAACTGCTTGTGTTATACTATGAAATCTTTTTGGTATGTTTGTTATATTGTCCGTTATTGGGTAGAAAGAAAACTTTGAGCGTGTTTTAATATGGTATCTATGTGGGTAAGTAATTGCGTTGGAAATAGG